TGAACTGACTCGTCACATTATATTACGCCTGTACGGAATATCATCATTGCCAAAATTTATTGTAAGAATTATTTTCTTATATTCACTGAGTCTCAAATAATACCTTAATAAAATTACCATTTTCCCATGATATTTACTCACAATAAATTGTCTTAATGTAAAATTTCATGATTTCCCATAAAAAAATATTCTGATAAGATCACTCTTATTGAATTTTTAGTGACATATCGGCAAATAGGCATAGTGTGAAATTTGTATAGGAAACATCATAAGTTTTAAGGTTCGTCCGATAGGCTTGATTACCTTTATTTCCATTCATAATATCCTTGGCCCACCTGTTTTAATACTAGGCTTATAGTGGTAATATATATAGTAATTAATGATTATTTCCTGGGGTGAAGAAATCATGCTTGCTTGGTTAATACGATAAGGATCATTAAGCTAGGTTGGTCTCGGAATAATACATGTTATTTGATTAGAAACTGGCTGACACGAATTTTTTGTCAAACTTCTTTAGAACATGCTAGATGATTACGATAACGATTGTTAAACTTCCTTTGGATTAATGCCAAAGTCCTTTGGAACATGACCAACGATTTCCAATTGCATACTTGGCAATGACTGATAATACAATTGTCAAATTTTTTTGGAGCTAACACTGCGATTTTCAAATTCCGGCAAAATACAATGATTGTAAAACTTTCTTACGAAATGGCGGATATTAAAATTGTTAAACATCCTTAAGAAATGACGGATACTACGAACGCAAAACTTCTGTTAGAAATGAAAAGGTACTACGATCGCAAAACATCCTAACTAAATGGCATAATGGTGGATACTACTAAAAGTTCTTTTTTGAAAATGAAACTACGGTGGCAATACTTCCTTTTGTAATGACAGATACTACAATTCTAAAGAATTCTTTGAAAATGAGGAATACTAACTACCATCTTGAAATAGTGGATATCTGGATACATAATGGGGAAACATGGGGAAATTGGCGATATTATGTTGTTAAACATGCCTGTTATGTCATAGGTGTATTGCAAAACAACAGCAAAATGGCGTTTCATGAGGAAACATCTAATATCACTATATCAAATAATTTTGTACTTATTTGGTGTATAAACCCTCAATTCTTTTATATTAACTTACACGTACATTAGTCAGTTTTATACCCATAATTTGAATATTTCACATTGATACACAATGATACACGATGATAAACATGAGGAAATGGGGTGTAACTTGGAACATTTGACGTGGGCCTTTTTGAAAAAAATTGAAAGATGAATAGAATTTTAATAGTTTCCGACAATCATGACAAACGTAAAATTGACGAATAAAGACCTGAAGATTGTTGTGTCACGAATGTAAATGAATGTTCACAATATCTCAGTCATGAAACGAGTCATTGCTTTTTGTTTTAGTGTTTGCTAAGACCACAATCAGTGACAAAAAGGCCATCTCACAAGTATACTCCAGTAGAAGTTGTTATATAAGGATTCACTTGAGTATATTTTCGTGATATCCCATGGCAATTGTCGTGTTTGACGAGGAGTTTCTTGTTTTTGACAGCTCTTCAATCGTTTGGAATATTGAATTATGATTTAAAATGACAGTTTGCACACATTTACAATATACATGTATATTTTGTTAATAAGAATATATCCGTAATGAAATGGTGGGATTAAAGCTAATGTTGATCATATTTTGTGTGTTTTTGAAAAAGTTTAATACCAAATGAATTCACAAAACATGGATAACTCACACGTTTAATATTTATAAAAATTCATTTTATGATTTAAAATTCCTGTTATTGTGTAGCTGGCACTACTGTCTATTTAACTTAACTTTACTTTAAGTTGTTCAGATTCCACTGTTATGGATTTTTAGATTCGATAAGCTGAATTCTAAGAAACGACGTATTGTTTCGTGATTACTTCCTTAGCTCTTCAATCGATTTTCCTTATATTAACGTCCTTCATGCACAATGTATGATTTTGCATTCCTAGGTAGGTCAAAAATGTGCAGAATCATAGAACGAAAAATAAGACTCGTGACTACAGGGGGCAATTTTCACCAATCTGAGGGAGTTATAGATGTCAGTGTTTACTATATATATATATATTTTGTTATTCTGTATTTCCATTATTAATTGTTATGCTTGATAAAGATTCCTGTATGTGAATTGAAACGGTGCAAAAATTAAATCAAAGGAGTAGTATATCCATAATAGTTGTTCTTGCTGAATAAGCCATAAAGTTCATAATCTTCCTGTCGAGAGTTCTGATTGGCTGTATGTGAATTGAAACGTTGTAAAATTAAATTAAAGGAGTAGTATATCCATAATAGTTGTCCTTGCTGAAAGTTTTTATGTTGTTAACAGAGAACAGTTAACCTTTGTTAGAAATTTTGTACATACTTCATAACGACGACCGTTTCTATAGCCCTATGGATCTCTGTGATATAAATCAAGTTTTATCTATATTATCTATCTCTATAGAAAGCTATACTGATTTTATATCGAGATCACCATTATGTACGTTGTCATGTTTTTATGAAATTGTTTGGGTCGCATATATTGGCCTTAATTATACTTTAATAATAGCTCTTAAGTATAGATTCAAAACATATATAAATCATATGGAACATGAAAATCATATCGGTGGCAACAATTTCTTAAAAGCGGGAATAAAATTTAAAAATTAAAATTGATTCGGTGCTTTCTGACTCATAGTTAGGGGCAAATGTCACAAAATAACTTAGCTTGAGGCTTGAAATTGACATTTAATTTTAGTAATAGTGAACCTTAGAAGAAAAAAACAAGAACCACCCAAAATTTGATATGCATGAACTTGTATAAAACTCATATTGTGAAATTCCTATGAAATGAAGTGGGAGTACAATCAGTTGAACAAACTATTCTGCGATAGAAACCTAACCTCTCTTAAAAACTAGCAAACAAAAATTAAGGTGACATAATTATGATGATTTACTTTCACAGCTCATCTAGAACTCTTTCACGCTCAGATCACACATGCGATGTGGGCATTCTTCTACAGTATGTAAAGGCGCTATATAAATAGACTTATTATTATTATTATTATTAAATGAAACCTAAAATTTAAAAGCAACCAATACATGACCGACAGTGATGTGAAATTGGTTTATTTTGATCTATATATTTGGAATCATTTTATAAAAGGGACAGTAGGCCTAGTCTTTTGAAGATTTGAAAATTTAGGTTACGAATACAGATGATCTCATTTATGTCTACATGGTATTTGCAACATGCTCCGGGTAATGGGAGTTTTGTCTTACGTTAGCAGTGGTCTTTTGTACTAGAATCGAATTATGGAAATTTAACAGACCACCTGATGGCGTGTAAATAATTGTGATCAAATGATCGCATCTATACTCTAACATCCCCACCCCTGTGTGTGCTCAAATAAAATTGAATAAAAGGTTCCTCATGCGGAAAGATTAAAACTAGTTTGGAAAGTTGACAATAAAGAGGTAAAAGAACATCTGAAAAGGTTATTGCGAGACTTATTTACCAATTTCATTCAAAGTAAACACAGTTGATAAAATCTCCAATGAAATCGCTTTGTACACCAAGCTATATATGCTAGCTTACTCGTTCAGGAAAAGTCAGAATTTGTTTTTTGTCTACCAGCAGGTCCTTCGACAAGAGTGGCATTGCTCTTTCCCCGATTATCCATACCCGACGTGATGGACTAGACTAATGACACATGAGGAAAGGTGAATTATTACCAAATTTTCACACGTTTGACCGAGTTTAGAACCCACGACCACACTTTGTGGCAAATTATATCGTGTATAACAACGATCTGATGTAAAGTTTGAGCAAATTCCAACTAATCGATACGAATAACTGCTGATGTATTGAATATAATAATATTTGTAATTGACTAAGTTTACAGTGGCCATTGAATCTGATTAGTTGTAAATCCCGATACGTATAAGTACAGGGCAACATTAATTAAAATTAATTCAGCGATTATGACAATGACTTCGGGTTTTAATTCTCGAGGAATCGATAAATGACATTAGCGGAAAAAATCGTTTGAGTAGGAACTAATTTCCATTATCAAGACATTACATGTCTCTACAGTCAGATTGTCTCATATTGTTAAAATAACTTTTGTGTCTACCGGCTCTCGGCACCATAACATCCTTCTACGTGTAGTAACAAATCTGTATTCTGAAACTTGTTCACATAATCTAAATTAGATATGATAAAAATGAGTTTTGGTCATATCAGATAAAACCAAAACGTTGGCTGAAACCTCAATGTTGTTATTTATTGTGTCTCATCATTTGTTCTAGATGTATTTTGTTATGACACGGTAACCAGATATCCATGCAGTTGACCTCTTGACCACTTACTATTTTTCCATTCATGTTTTGAACAATCGATTTAGGACTGTTGTCCAGCTGACATGAATAACACACTACTAAACCAGTTTTATTGATATATATCATAGCGAAGTACACACCTTTTCACGTTCACAGTCGACCAACCCAATATGATATTCAAAATCCCAGTGTGCCTTTGTGTTTATTGGTTAAAGGGATATGTACTTCCAGTTTTCCACTTAAAAATTTATAAGAAATCGGTTTCTGTTACCTAAAACCCCTTTCCATAGTTTTTTTCTTATATATGGTTCGTCTTTAGTTAACAAAATAATGTAATTAAGCTAACCACTGAAGGTTTAAAAGGTATATGACGAAGCGTCAAAGTGATAAACCAGTACACTATATACCTTTAATACGTATTAAATGAGTATATTATGGTTTTGTTACCCTAGTGTGAATAACGTAGGCCTACGACATTCCCCAGTACAAGATATATTATATATATAATATAAAGTTTAACAAAGCGAGAAAGAGGCGAATCTATTCAAAAAACTATGATACCTTAAATAATAAATCACATTGCTCATTTGTCAGAACGGTCATGTAAAAGAGTCAAAATGGCCGAAAGAGTGTCATCTATACCTATAAATGGATTAAATGATTATCAAAATGAACATTATTATGAAAATAATGCAGAAATGGTAAAGAATTGGATTAGTACTGGTGGAAATCCCGGCTCACTGAGTCGTAATAGTCGAAAGGATACAAAAACAACTTCAATTCAAAGGTATGCATTAACTTATAATGTTATTGCTATTTCAGCGTTGAAACTGAATGTGGCAATGTGGCTCAAGAGGATGATATTGTGATGATGAAGGTTACAGTTATGGAAAATAGACTGAGTAGAAACAGTCATGGGATAGTTTTTCGTGGATAATGAA